CTCCCTCTTCCCACACACGGGAACTCTCCCTCTTCCCACACACGGGAACTCTCCCTCTTCCCACACACGGGAACCCTCCCTCTTCCCACACACGGGAACCCTCCCTCTTCCCACACACGGGAACTCTCCCTCTTCCCACACACGAGAACTCTCCTTCTTCCCACACAAGAAAGCGCATCCGCCCGTATGGATGTGACACACCAGAAAATGTCCACTAATATGACCGACAGCAAAATAGAGAGACAGAGAGAAGGGGAAAGATAGATACAGCGATATATAAAGAGAAAGAAGGAGAGAGGGGAGGGATGGAAGGAGGGAAAGAGATAGATAGATAGATAGAGAGAGAGATACATAGCTAGAGAGATAGATAAAAATGTGTGTGAGAGAGAGGGGAAACACAGAGCACCGTAACTACTGTGTTAGGCAGGCGGGCGCTGCCGGGGGGGCCGCCCAAACCTCGACGAACTGGGCTTTGTTGAGGAAGTGGCTGAGGAACCCGTGTGTAGTGCACCGACAGACGCGAACACGGCTACATGTGTTTATTGCTTGCTCATATCCGACCGACAACTAATAACTAACTAATCGTGATGTTTATATAACGATAAAGACCTACGGCAACGACAGCATATAACTATATATGTATGTATTTATGTATATACGTGTGTGTGTGTGTGTGCGTGTGTGTGCGTGCGTGTGTGTGTATGTGTGTGTGCGTGTGTGTGTGTGCGCGCGCAACGCGTGTGTGTGTATGTATGTGCGTGTGTGTGTGCGCGCGCGCACGCGTGTGTGTATGTATGTGCGTGTGTGTGTGTGCGCGCGCGCGCACGTGTGTGTGTATGTATGTATGTGTGTCTGTGCGTGCGTGCATGTGTGTGTGCGTGCGTGTGTGTACGTGTGTGCGCGTGTCCCAGTCATGAAATCAATCAGCACTTAACAGACTGCGACATAGACAACGGTGATCGCGCGACAGGGGGGTGCTACCACACTGAAACTACCTAACCTCCCCCTCGCTCAGCCTTCTCATATAATAGAGGGCGCCTGCTCCCCTCACGCGTCTCTACGGCAGAGGGCGCCCCCTGGTATCAGCGAGCTATCGAGGGCCAATCCGCTACACTGGTCGTGTACCCATAATCCGGTCACTCACGCGGACAGTGACCTTGACCCCGCCCCCACACAGGCAGCATGACCTTGACCCCCGCCCCACGCAGGCAGCGTGACCTTGACCCCTGCCCCACGCAGGCAGCGTGATCTTGACCCCTGCCCCACGCAGGCAGCGTGACCTTGACCCCGCCCCACCCAGGCAGCGTGACCTTGACCCCTGCCCCACGCAGGCAGCGTGACCTTGACCCCCGCCACCACGCAGGCAGCGTGACCTTGACCCCCGCCCCACACAGGCAGCGTGACCATGACCTGCCAACTACGCGGGTGGAGTGACCTTGACCCTGCATCTGCACGAAATTGATCCAATGACAACACAGAATATACAGATTAACAGCAGATCAGATCTCCGAAGATTCACTCCAGCATTAATCAATCAATCAATCAATCAATCAATCAATCAAACAATCAATTACTCGATATATACTTTCTATGGGATTCATTTTACAGATGACTTGCGGTTGCAATCATTGCCGTTGAATTGCGGTTGTGTGCTTGTCTCATCGCTGACTTTTCCCCAGTTGGACGTTACCCCTACATCCTACTCACACTCACACTCACTTTCTCTCCTACCTTCTCTCTTTCTCACCTTCTCTCGTGCTACACCTGATCTCCCAGATCATATCTGTATCCGAATTACTCTTCCCTTCCCGATTGTCTCTTACCTTCACCTACTACCTCACCATCTCTATTACGGCTCACATCCGTCATTCCCGCCAACTCTCACTCACCTCTCTCGCTACTGCCTTTTCTTTATGACCGTCTCCCTCATTGACCTATTCTCCCTCGCTTTCCCTCACTAACGCTCTCTTTCCCTGACATGCTTTCTCGCCTTTTCTCTATGGCCCCTTCTATCGCCTTCTCTTCCTGCCCCTCTCTCGCCTTCTCTTCCTGCCCCTCTCTCGCCTTCTCTTCCTGCCCCTCTCTCGCCTTCTCTTTCCGCCCCTCTTCTTTCTTCTCTTTCCGCCTCTCTCTCGCCTTCTCACCCTGACCCTCTCTTTCATGGAACTATTCTGTCTTGCGCTTCTCTTTCAGAGCGTGCGCTGACCAATGATGACAGCATGAAGATGGGAGCCTAGAGGTCAAGGCCAGCGCGACAAAGGTCAAGGCCAGCGCGATAAAGGTCAAGGCCAGCGCGATAAAGGTCAAGGCCAGCGCGATAAAGGTCAAGGCCAGCGCGATAAAGGTCAAGGCCAGCGCATTCCTGGGTTGTTAAGATGCTGCAAAGATGACACATGGCTCTGCCATCATGTGCGGACATCGTCATTACAGCTGTATGATTACCGGCCGCATCCCGAATAACGAGCCACTCATTAATGCCGCAGCTTCCACGAACGGGGGGGTGGGGGGTGGGGGTGAATAGAAGAGCAGCCTCCGTCGCTACGCTACAGCACAAATAGGACGACGAAATCGTCGCAGCTACAAACCAACATGATTTTTACAACGTGGTAAATCCGAGTATAGATATGTCGCGGCGCGCGGTTAACATGGCAGTGGGATCTGTCTCTCGCACGAGAGATCCACGATCGACTCGCCGATCCCACTTTCGTCCAGGATTTTGCGAGAAACGACCCGCGCTATATTAGTCACAATTAGAGAAGGCAAACCTGGCGTCCCGTGATCGCAGCGCCCCCTCGTGTGTACATCGTTAATTAATCTATCAACACTACGGCTTAACTCAAAAATAATAACACCTGAATCTACGGAGAAAGGCAGCCCGGCGCGACGACACAATTATATACTCACTCTCGCACTGACTAACCTTTCATTAACACCTATCTGTGGTCACCACCCCTGCTGCCCTTGCCAATACACACTACCGTGCTGCCAGAGACACCTGGTGAGCAAAAACGATGCAAATCTGTGCGCGTTCTCGGTCGACCATCGTCACCGGTCTATAAATGCTTCGTTCCCCCCCACGAGGGAATCGCAGCAGACACTTGCGACGTTTTTCTCCTAGAGATGGCAGCACGTGACTACTCATCCGCACTAAGCAACAAGCGACGATGAAACACGGTAGACTTGACGCCATCGTGGGGTTAAAACTGTTCCGTCAACAGCTCGCAAACTCGCTTCACGACAGACTCCTTGCTGCCACGAACTGTTAGTCGGTACATCTGCAAAATATGAAGATAGAGAGAGATAGAGAGAGAGAGAGAGTTAGAAAGCACTCACCATAGAGAAATGTTTTAGTAGCAAGTGTTTGTCTGAATTAAGTCGTAACAGAAGTAGCAAAATGGATTTGCATTGCAGCAATTTATCCATGAAGAGGGAACAACCGAATTATAACTGTACTTTCATAGTTTATGGTTTTACAGCATCTACCTTCTAAAAAGTAGATTCTGCCAGTAATATTTAAAGTGAATAGCTCAATACAAAATTTACTCCTCATAAAGAAACTAGATTATTTCAAGTGACATATAATTTTCAACTAAACACGTATCACGAAAAAATCATAAATTTTTCAAGGTGCTTAACTTGCTTTGATGCACTCAAGGTGCTACAAAATACATTCCTCGCAAAACCGGCCAACGCGTCCACAGGAGGCAACGCAACCACTGAGACACATCAGAGACATATCAACAAGATCGCAAGACACTGACAGTGAGTGACACACTAGCCGCGTTCACACGTAGCAAGAAATCCGGTATTTAGCGTTCACACGAGGCAAAATACGAGGCCCAAGAAATACGGTATCTAAACAGATCCGGTATTTCATGTAAATACGAGGCTTCCCAGACGCAGACTCCCGAATAATTTGGCCGTGCTTTGAGAAATACGATTTCTTTTGGACCGGCGCATTTCTCGGTGTGAAGCGCTGTAAAGTACCGGATTTCTGAAGCCGCGGTATTTTATAGACTGGTCCGCAGCTCCGACAGTTTATGTAAAAGCGAGTGGAACTGTCGAGGCGCGGGACACAGTCTAACCGTATTTTATCGCAGTTGGTGGCGCATGTGCGATTGTTTATTTCGCATTTGTCAGCTTGATTGTTTAAAGCAGCTCGCAGGCTCGCAATACGCGTATTTTCTGGAGCGCGCGAACGGCGTGTGAACGCTCGGCCGTATTTGTCTGGGCAAGATAGCGGTATTCGGACTGTATTTCAGAAATACGAGGTCTCGTGTGAACGAGGCTATTGTCTGAGTGAAGGAGATTAGTCGCACCTGTGCTCCCTTGTTCGGTTCTAGGCGCACCAGCAAGCCGATCTGCTGCGTGCGCGTGTGCACGATGCCCGCGCACACAAAGTTCTCCGGGTTAGGGTCGATGCCCCCGAGAACGCCGATGCCGAAGCCCACCAGCTTAGCCTTCGCCTGCTCAGAGTCCATCGGAGACTGCGCCTTGAAGATCTGCTGAGCCTCCTGGTTGGACCTGCGTAGACGAGAGAGGGTGAGGTTACTGATCTAGCCACCCGCCTGCCCGCCTGCTTGCTTACTTGCCTGCCTGCCTGCCTGCATGCCTGCTTGCCTGCCTGCCTACATGCTTGCTTGCTTGCCTGCATGCCTGCCTGCTTGCCTGCCTGCCTGCCTGCCAGCCTGCCTGCCTGCCTGCCTGTCTGCCTGCCTGCTTGCCTGCCTGCCTACATGCCTGCTTGCTTGCCTGCATGCCTGCCTGCCTGCCTGCCTGCCTGCCTGTCTGCCTGCCTGCCCATCTGCTCGCTTGCCTGTCTGCGTGCCTGCCTGCCTGCCTGCTTCCCTGCCTGCCACATCCACCCATCCATCAATCTATCCTTATATGTATCCGTCCGTCTGCCTGCCCGTCTGCTCGCCTGCCTGCCTGCCTGCGCTGCCTTGCCTGCTGCCTGCCTACATGGCCTGCTGCTTGCCTGCATGCCTGCCTGCCTGTCTGCCTGCCCGTCTGCCTGCCTGCCTGTCTGCCCGCTGCCCGTCCTGCTCGCCTGCCTGCCTGCTTGCCCGTCTGCTCAGGCTCTGCCTGCCCTGCCTTGCCTGCCTGCCTGTCTGCCTGGCCTTGTCTGCTCGGGCCTGCCCACCATGCCCGCCTGTTTGCTCGCTGCACGCCCGCCCGCCCCTGACCGCCCACGTGGTCAGCTGCCGCCCGCGCGCAGTCCGTCCATCCATTCATCTAATGTAAAGCACGCGTTGGAGAGATAGTTTTGGTGGTGCACTCACGCGCTCAGTGTTTTCCATCGGGAGAAGAAGTCCTGTTGTCCCATCTCGGCAGCGGCGAGGAACTTGTTGATGGTGACGGGCAGCATGAGATGCACACGCTGAGGCACTCCAGAGTATCTGTAAACACACACACACAAGCATACACATCAACCCTCCAGTATCATGGCCCAACCTTACACACACAAGCATACACATCAACTCTCCAGTATCGCTGCCCAACCTTACACACACACACACGCACATCAACCCCCAGCATCACGGCCGGCAACCTTACACACACACACACTACACACACACATCACACCCTCAAGTATCATTGCCGCAACCTTACAACACACACACGCATAACATCAACCTCGCAGCTATCACACGGCCACCTTACACAGCACACACACATACATCAACCCGCCAGCATCACGGCGCAACCACATCACACACACACACAGCACCACATCAACCCTCCCGCATCCGGCCCTACCTTACACACATCAAACGGCCACATACCTGAACCCTGCCAGCATCACGGCCCTACCTTACACACACACATACATCAACCCTCCAGCATCACGGCCCAACCTTACACACACACACACACACACACACATCAACCCTCCAGCATCACGGCCCTACCTTACACACACACACACATACATCAACCCTCCAGTATCACGGCCCAACCTTACACACACAAACACACATCAACCCTCCAGCATCACGGCCCAACCTTACACACACACACACACATACATCAACCCTCCAGCATCACGGCCCAACCTTACACACACACGCACACACATACATCAACCCTCCAGCATCACGGCCCAACCTTACACACACACACACATACATCAACCCTCCAGCATACGGCACCAACCTTACCACACACACAACACAAATACATCGAACCCTCCAGTATCATCGGCCAACATTAAACACACAAACACACATCAACCCTCCAGTCATCACGGCGCCAACCTTACACACACAACACATTACATCAACCCTCCCAGCATTCACGGCCCATACCTTACGACACACACACCACATACATCAACGCGCTCCAAAGTATCGAGCGGCCCACCTTACACACACAAAACCCCAACACATCCATCAACCTCCGTATCAGGCCCAACCTTACACACACACACACATACATCAACCCTCCAGCATCACGGCACCAACCTTAGCACACAGCAACCACAGTACATCAACCCTCGCCAGTATCCACGGCCCAACCTTACACACACATGCACCACATCGACATACATCAACACCTCACAGCTATCACGGATAACGCTTAACATCACACACGCACACAGCATACAGTCAACCCTCCAGCATCAACGGTCTGCAACCTTACAGCACTACACGCACACCACATACATAACCCTCCAGCCATCAGGCGCGCCCAACTTTACAGAGGACACAAACACACATGCAACCCTCCAGCAATCACGGGCACGGCCCAACCTTCACACAGACCACACACATACGTCAACCACTCCAGTATCACGGCCCAACGCTTACACACACAAACACACGGCATCGAACGCCTCCAGCATCACGGCCAACCTTACCACAACACACATACATCCAACCCTGCAGCATCACGGCCAACCTTACACACCACACACATACATCAACTATGCTGCAGCAATCAACTGACCAACCTTACTACAGGCCCCACGCACACAGCATGACATCAACCCTCCAGCATCACGGATCAACCTTACACACACACAACACACCACACATACATCAACCCTCCAGCATCACGGACCAACCTTACACACACACATACATCAACCCTCCAGCATCACGGACCAACCTTACACACACACATACATCAACCCTCCAGCATCACGGATCAACCTTACACACACACACACACACACATACATCAACCCTCCAGCATCACGGCTGTGCATCAAGCACCCTAACCCTAACCCTAACCCAATCTTACACACACATTACTACAACCTTTACAACAGTTCCCACTAACGTCCACATGGGGGAAATGATATGAAATGCTGAACTACTATTATGCTGCAAAATATTCACATGAATGTTAAATATTCTTCTGTTCTGGCGTGACATGGCGTTGGAGAGAGAGAGAGAGAGAAAGAGGAGTGTACCTGTATATTAAGCCGTGAGTTAAGGAGTTAAGTGAGTGGGGAGGGATCACTGTACTAGCGTGAGATAAGTTAAGGTGAGTGGGAGGGAGCCTGACTATAGTATGAGATAAGGTGAGGTGAATGGGGAGAAGGAACCACTGTACTAGAGAGTACTGTATGAGATGAGAAGGTAAGATGGTCAGTGGGGACAAGGGGGAGCAGTGGTGTGCTACTCACGTGAACGACACGTTGAGGGACGGGCAATGGCTCCGTGAAGTCCTGTATGAACTCGACTTGAGAGTTGCTGCACCTGCGCACGGCTTGCCTCCAGCAATGTGCCCACCGCGTCGTCTGCACGTTCAGCTGTGCACCGTCACAAACAGTCCAAGGAACGGCTCACGGGGCACACCTGGTCCGGCGGCGTGTCAACACTCGCGCTTAGCGCGGTGGACAGCGGTTCTTACCGCTTATGAAGTAGCTAGCTGAATGCTTACCCATGCACCACAGGGTCATGCACACTAATACCACATGCACGCAAAGGTCGACACATTGCAAGACTACACTAATAGCATGTTACACATGCCGCCGCGCGTGCACGAACATCAATGCACTTCATGCATGCCATCACAGCAACTCGACAAGGGGAGGTAAGGCCTGGGCTGGGTGACTCATACGGCACTATGCACGCACGCAACAGCCACGACACCAAACACACTAATAGCCCCACCACACACACACACTAATACATACACATGCCAGCGCGCGTGCACACATGCAAGCGTGCGTGTACACATGCATGCACTCATGCACGCACTCATGCACGCACTCATGCACGCACGCACGCACGCACCCACACACACACTAATACATACACATGCCAGCACGCGTGCACACATGCACGCACTCATGCACGCACTCATGCACACTAATACGCACATGCACGCACGCACGCACACACACACACACTAATACATACACATGCCAGCGCGCGTGCACACATGCATGCACTCATGCATGCACTCATGCACACTAATACGCACACGCACGCACGCACGCACGCACGCACGCATGCACACCCACACACACTAATACATACACATGCCAGCGCGCGTGCACACATGCATGCGTGCGTGTACACATGCATGCACGTGCACACACATACACAAGCACAAACGTACGTACGCACGCACGCTCGCACGCACGCACGCACCACAGACACGCACGCACGCACGCACGCACTCACGCACGCAGGCACGCACGCACGCACGCACGCACGNACCGCACCTCGGCGTACGGAATACACTCTAAATAGGCCGGAATCTGGCGTACGAAATGGGCTTTGACCCCCTCCAGAAAGTCCCGTATTCTCTTTAACGACTTTATAAAACTCGACATGATTTTACCTCTGCTCACTATCCGTCTATAACACTGGTATACTTGCTATTGCTACCTTCACACTACACTGCTCCTTCGCTACTCTGTACTAGAATTACAAGATTGCTGACGATGTTCCACTGATACGCCCGAAACGCCGATAGACCGCGTAGCGCCTTCTTGCGGTGGCGTTTGCAAGTTAATTTACGACGCTAAACCACAAACTGATCTGTTTACGGTGACAGTGTTCTATTGTCTCTGGTGTATGCACAGAAGAAACTCGGAAACTCAGAAACTCAGAAACTCGGAAACTCAGAAACTCGAAAACTCGAAAACTCGGAAACTCAAAAAGTCGGATGTCGTTTCAGGTCTTCCATACGATAGTGTCACTGCAGGCAGAGTGTCAATTTTATAACCATAGATATCATGTAACTATTATATATAAGTGTTATATGATATGACACGTGACCACTATTTAATCACGTCCGGTTCATTACCCGGTTAGGTTACAGGATGTGACGCGTCATCGGCCGACCAATCGGCGGGCCCGCAGCTCGTGCACTAAAGCTGACGTGATGTTTTGTGGCAAACTGCATGCAATGCCCCTTCGCTCACTCAGGATACCACTGCAACAATGCTAGCACTATTTTTAAAGTGGGCGGAGCTCAGGGGAAATCCAGCGAATAGAGATTCGTAAACAGCGTATGATTTGACAGAGGTAAATGGGCGCACAATCCGCGTACGTACTATTTCGTATCACTGTTTTATCAAATTTTTCATGAAATAACGGTCGGATTTTTAATATCTTTGCAACTTTTATTAGTCCAAATCTTATTACATAGCATACATAGCATACGAGTAACGTCCCTGCTGTAAAACTTGTATTAAAAAAGCGTTACAAATTGTAACCGAAAACAACTTGTGGCAGTGGTAGATCGAGCCCATGAGCGAGAGCGCCATCTGTCGTGGAGTTTGGTTTTCTGGTTGCATTATTTAGGCTGGCCATCAAGTTAGTCAGGCAGCTTAGACCCAGATTTGGGAATAATGTGGACGTTCCGGACAAAAGCACCAAATTTTTTCCACGTGTTACACATGGGCCTAGCAATAGATTTTTGATAGGAACCACTTCCTCCGAGTACATTATGGCGGCCATCTTGGATATCCAACATGGCGGACATGTGCAAAACTAGAAATGCCAATTTCTCTGCTTCCAAACCAGCTAGACTCTCAATATTGGTGTCTAAACACACATTTTCTGGGTCAAGGAATACAATAATGCAATTTAGAATACTCAATATGGCGGCCATCTTGGATTTGCAACATGGCGGACATGTGCAAACCTATAAGTGCCAATATCTCGGCTTCCAAACCAGCTAGACTCTCAATATTGGTGTCTAAACACACATTTTCTGGGTCAAGGAATACAATAATGCAATTTAAAATACTCGATATGGCGGCCATCTTGGATTTCCACCATGGCGGACACGTGCAAACCTATAAGTGCCAATATCTCGGCTTCCAAACCAGCTAGACTCTCAATATTGGTGTCTAAACATACATTTTCTGGGTCAAGGAATACAATAATGCAATTTAGAATACTCAATATGGCGACCATGTTGTACTCGGAGGAAGTGGTTCCTATCAAAAATCTATTGCTAGGCCTATGTGTAACACGTGGAAAAAAATTGGTGCTTTTGTCCGGAATGTCCACATTATTCCCAAATCTGGGTCTAAGCTGCCTGACT